TCACGGCGCCGCTGCTTCCTCCGTCGCGTACACCACCGCCGGCGAGCGTTTTCGGCCAGTCGGTCTTTGTACGCCCGGTGGTTCGGGACAAGCCCGGTGTTGCTCTCATCATTGAAAGTGTGATCTTTTTTTCTTTGGTGCTCGCTTTTGGGGGGGTAATGCACAAGCTCCGAGGTGATTGAAACAACGACAATTGTCGGCGGAACTTTTGCTTTCATCATGGTCAATAACACCGAGGAAGGGAGCCGAGGTGAGTGCTTTACGTCATTGCTCTTGTTGATTGTCACGGGGGGGTTTTTTTTTTTTTTTTTTTTTTTTTTCAAAGAATTGTAAAAGAAAAAGATTCAAATTCAAATAAAAATTATTGTGGAAAAATAAAATTAAAATTTGTTGAAAAATTAATTGCTTGGGAGTGTGAGAGGGAATGGTGGGTAAAGGTGTGCAGAAGAGTACCACGGCATGGTTGGCAGATATACATATATAGTGGGGAGAGGAGAAGTGTGTAGAGAACAGTAGGCTAGGGGGACGGGGTAAGGGGGGAAACTTGAGAGGAAGAGACTTCGGGTAAACCACTTTCGTTTCAAAAAAAAATCTGTCGGTTTTAAAATTCCAGCCCCCCGAGTACGCGACATAAAGAACTTCGTTCCAAAAAAAAATTCAGATTATTCAACTGTACCCTCTTTTACATGTTCAATTTTAAGAATTTGCAATTTAACATGTTATTATGAAAAAATCACTAAAAATGACATTTATAAGATCTGTTTAAACCCCCCAATTTTTGTTTGTATGAAAGATTTCTTTTAGATAAACTTGTTTCATTTTCAAATAGATCTATATTTTTTTTTGTTCAATAACACACGAAAAAAGGAGTCAAGAATTCGTAAAAGCGTTTATGTCAGCTGATTCATACAAGAAAAATAATTTCCAGCGTTGCTGCATGTATTTGCGCTCCTTCCACCTCTATAAATTTTGTGAAAAAAGAAAACGCAATAAAAATCAATTATTGTAATTATATAGAACCGAAAATTTTTTTTTGTAAATACGAAATTTATGAAAATATGTGAAAAATTTTATAAACAATTTAC